TCCTTACGAGTGCGATGGGAGGCAACACAGTCTAATCGTACTGGCTTCCAACCACCCTTCCAAAAATGCGCGGTAGGTCTGCCAATTTGGTGAGTATAAACGGATTGGCTGTGTCCCCGCCTTCAGTATTTCGATTAGCGATGAACTTGTGCATTGTCGTCTTCTTTGGTTTGGACATACAGCGCGTTGCCAACACAAGGACTGATATGATGCTACTTAGTGCGCCGTCCTAGGCGCATCACCTGGGGTAAACGCGGTGTGACGATAAGTAGCACGGGACTTGTCTGTGACACTTTTACCTTACCCGTGAACAACTATGTAGAGACTTGATAGGAAACTCTCTCGAGTACCAACATCTCGACTCCTAACCCACAGGCACCCACAATTTTCCTCCCTTCTACTACCCTGGATCTGGTAAATTTATCCAACTTGATGAAGGGTTCGGAACTGACTTCTAATCTGACCGACATCCAGCCCTTGGGAAAAAAGTTCTTAATCCATAACATCAAGTGACATGTTTTGAACGGAATGCTCTAGAAGCTATAGACACTCCTGGAACTACAGAATCACTTGCTGTAAATCCTGACTGTCCTAGTGACCTCGAGTATCAGAGCAAGCCAAATCCGACTTTATTGGGCACCAAATGATACTCACCAGGAAAGTCCACCAACTTACCATGGAACTTTGAATGTGTAGATCTGGGTGGATCGATAGAGTTTATAAGTTTATTTAATACTTAAGACTATTGATCTAATTCAAAGTTCCCATGACAAGTTGGCGGACTTCTCCGGTCAGCGAAGCTTGAAGAGGCAACCTTGTGAGGACCTGCATAGCGCTGAACAAAATCGCTCAATTGTAGATTCTTTCGGCTTGACAACGAGTTTTGTCTTCACAATAACTGACCACGGTATATAACATGAATCATCAAAAGAAACTAGCAATTTGTGCTTACTCCCCCCCCTGCCGACACTGCCCATTCTGCTTTGTTATTGAGTAGCAGTTTAAAAAGTACTAAATGACGTGAACGAAGTTTTTCACCACGGACCATCAGTACGATATTTGTATTCTCATAATGCTGTCCAAGGCCGGTTCTCACCCGGGGGCCGTGATTGTGAATGAAGATCGTACATGAAGTCGAAAGGGCAAGTCTTAGGATACCGACATAAGCATCACTTATCAATTTCCTATCATATATCAGAAACTCTCATTTTCGCCTACTCCTCTACATATATAAAATATTAATTATCATGGGGCCACATGCTTCTGCGCACTCATGAGACTTTAGGGCCAATTGAGTCATCCATTCTCAATTTTGAACTGGCTCAGTTAAATCATTGCCGCCTCTGCTTTTCTGTGGCGGGATTGGGTTGAATATGTCATCCTTCATTCTTATAAGGGGTACGGATTCGAGCGGGGTCAGCACACTCAAATAACAGCGAAAAATTCGGCGCAGTACGGAGGGGGGGCATTTTGCACTTTTGCTACTTCCCATCGACGTGTCGACCTATCTAGACAGCCTCTTCTCGAGTTGACAGGTTTTACCATGATGGCTTGACGACCTTGCTCCAGCTTCACAAGAGTTCACAGGTTTCACCAGAGTGAAACTGGTAAACCGGAACTAGTGAAGCAATGAAAGTATAAAATGCCCCCCCGTCGCCGAACAACGCCAAAAATTCTGACGAAAACGTAGGTTCTGATTTCCGGCTTCTGGAATCCGTAATATTTCCCAGCACAAGTGAGCCCCATCATTTCCACCCATTAGATAGACTAATTTCAATCCCACAAACTTTAACCACAAGTTTCCACCCACTAAACAAGTTTCATTATCTGATCATCGCTCAAAGCAAGCTCCCCACTTGCCGCTGAAACCAACTTCATGGACCCCTTGGAATAGCGCTAATCAGTTTCCCACTAATTCTATTCAGAAACCCAGTTTCCGCTTTGGATAACTTCGGCCTTTGTGGTTAAGTTTGGTGGGAGAACTAACCCTCACTGACGTGGGAAACATTTCAATTAGGAAACTGTATTTCTAAATGGACTTCTATTACCCTGAGAATTCCTGCCATCCCCTCTACAATCCTTGCCCTTTTGCTTTCAACAATTCGAAATTCTTGATGGGAAATCCTTTCTACTAACGTTCTGTCGTTCCCTGTTTAATATGCATGGAACTTGGGCCACAATTTCTTAATGCATTCGCAAAATGTTTAATACATTTCTTATGTCCGCGGCTAAAACTTGCGCCTGAACACTCAACGAATCCGATTAGCAGGACAACGATTTGTCGCCATGAACGTGCGCTCCTACAGCTTTGCACTTCGCACCAATATTTTTGAGGAATATAAAAAAACCACCCGCGAAAACCACAGGTATGTACCTCGAGTGCGTTAATCAACGCATTTTTATCCCCTTGTTTTCGGAAATTCGATAAACTACTGGCTCAGTGAATATTATTCAGCTATAGTGAAACTATTTCCGTTATAGAAGTATCCAGGATGAATGCATTTCTCTGCGCGACCCCTGAACCCTGCACTGCCTTTGTACTGTCCGTGTTCTCTTACAAATCCCAAAGCGCCCCCTCTAGCGAACCTATCCCAAGAAAGAGGGCTCGTTACCTATATTTTGGGCATCTCAAAAAGCGAATGCTCTAGTAGTGGTCGACTGTGTTGACTGGAACGACGAGAGATTCTGGCCTTCCACTTCCGAATACGATGAGGGGGGGGGCTTCTCTCTTATTACTAGCCATAAGAAAACGTAATGAAACACCTACGAGAACCGCATCTACGTTCAACAGCCACGCAACCCACTCCACACTTCCTAGTTAGTTTCGGGTTTTACAGCGAGGAACAGTCACGCCACTCAACCCGCTTACGTTATATCTGACCCTCGTTTGTCTTGGCGAGGCTATGAAAATTCATACTACGTTCACCACCACTCCCGCAAGATGCTGGCAATGAGAAGCGCCAGTTGTAAAATAAATAAAAAGTGCTTGCTGACTTCGCATTACGAAACGCTTTCAGTCACAGACTCCGGCGAGTAAACAAATTCAGAAAAACTGCGAGTGGAATCAGCTTTATTTGCCACTGTTCAGTAAGAAATTATATAAAACACAGGGGAGGGGGGGGCTCCTTTCACTCTATGATGCCCTACTCTTAGCACTATGGTCGCAATCTGAAAGAAGTCGACGGAGTCGGCGACCGGGAAGTGGGGGGGGGGGGTAATTTTCCACTTCCGATGCTTCCCACTTTCGAGCTTAGCTTATTGCTTTACAAGAGTCGGTATGTTTTCAAAGAGTAGATGATAGTTTCAACCACTCTCTACTTGATGGCGACACGACAACGTGAAGCAGCGAAAATGCAAACCCACCCCCCAGCAAACTTCGTCAGAAATTCACCCGAAACGCGCTTAAGCCGATGTTCTTTCATAGCGCTCGGCTTTATCCGAACAGTGTCATAGTATGACTGATGCAAGGACCCTTCGGATGGACTTCACTCTACTATTCCAGGCTGCCTAGAGTAGGGCGCCAAAAAGGTTTGAACCTGAGAGATAGATCGCGACCTCGTCTCCAGAGCGAAGACAAGGATACACTGGCCTGTAGGGAATGCTACACAACCTTATAACTACACTAAACCCTTATTTTCTATCTGAAGCAGATTAATTTATAAGTCTGCACCTGAGATAATTAGACTCCAAAAGCTGGAATATTAACCCGCTCTAAGCTAAAATGCCCTCCGAAAATGCAACCAACACATGCCAGTTTCAGCTGGCAGGCGTAGAGCCTGCTCCAAGCAGTGCCGTCAGCGCGAACGTGACTCAATCATGTCAGGGGTGTATATCATTATTATTTATCTTAAGTTTTCTGCAAGTGTTTTGGCAGGCTGTGGTTTGAAGCCAAGAGGATGTGATGCGGGGGGTCAAACTATCACAAGCGTTAGAGGAGAGACAACCTAAACCCGTCTTCCGTTGGAAAAATTTCAATCAAAATTCTTAATTCTGAACAGAGCGGCAGTACATGTAAACAGTTTCGAAAGGGGTTACGTAACCCTGCTAGTTGAGCAAATTGACGATTGCTTTCAGAACAGGGCACGCCATCCTTGTGAGACCACAAGGGGGGGGCGTATTTGACCGCGAGGAAGGGGCGGGGGGGGGTCGCAGTGGTCTAAGAAGATATCTCTTGATAGTTGATTTCTTGTGTTCACGGACGCACGCCATGAAGGGGGGGGGGAGCGGTCGGTACTTGGTCATTTTGGGAGGACTGCCCCAACAATCTATGCAAACTGCCTTAATTCCAATGCATTGAAAAAGAAAGTTAAATTTGACGACCTCCCTCTCCGCTGGACAGCAAAATTTTAGGGAAACCCAGATTTTTTGGGAAAAAATGGAAAAAGTGCTAGAAAGTTGGGAAAATCTAGGAAAGTGATAGGTAGCATGGAGAGGGGGGGGTCGTATTTTTTAGTTATTGATGCGTGCTTTTGAAACATGGCGCACGTCATCGCGCTATGGACAACGCTGATACGTCCCCTGTTTCAAAAGGCGTCCTGCATCCTGAACACGATTTCCTTATCTTTTCTTAGCGCTACCCGACATATTCCTGATTGCCGCCGTAAAACGCTGTGCACTAAAACGTTACGTCAACATTGCGCTTTGATAGCGCTGGAGCTGCTATTTATAATGATTCCGCCAATCTTTACAAGGAGATACAACCCTGCTGATCGATAAGATATGTCTTCTCAAATAGGAAAATCGCTACTTACCGACTCAAGTCGTAATTCATCGAGTTAGGCAACTGCTCAGCCATGCTTCGTTGATTAGCCGGAAGCGGTGCCATAAACCCTGTGCCGAACGAACCTAATATGAGAGATTTATTGCATTGGCTTGGACATAATTTCCACTTTCAAATACGCGTTCAAACATCACTAAGAGCTCAATGCTAATTCAAACGGACAGTATGTCTAGATCGGTTTCCCGGCGAAAAAGCTGCCGTTTTGGCGATCCGACCGCTATCAGAGAACATGCTTATGCCAGCGGTTATCGCCAGTACTACCATAGCTAGGCAATGACGATAGACGTTGAAGCATCGGGCTGCCTACTTAAAATGGGGCTATGAATATTCAACATGAAAACGGATAAAAATAGCAACAAGATATGACGTACATAGCGCATTCGTTTGTGCTCCACCTAACGACCTACTCATCGGGGCTCCGTATGACGTTGGAGACAGTTGTTGCGAGCAGGTCATTGGAGCGAACGTGTTGTGATTCGAGCGTATCGACGGTGTGCACGACGATGGTGGATTCGGAAGATTCGCGAGAAGATCCGTCTCGCTAAAATTATAAACAAATTATCCACATATTTAGTTCAGCCACACAAGTACACTAAAGTCTGGAGATTCGGAGGTGCTTAGGCCCATATAGGTCCCCTAGTTACTGCAAATTACAAAGCCCTCCTGACATTTTAGGAGATTTTTCTTCTACCTCTGACTCGCAGAAGTACCGCAAATCATTGCTCCATTGTGTTCAGTCGAGTCGATAGAAGGTTCTCAGGCACATCATCGAGTTGGGGGATTTAAGGTCGAGTCCTGGGGGGGGGGGCGGGGGTGGAAAGACCCCCCTTCCGCCCCCTTGCTCCCGTCCTCATCCAGTCGAGCCGTCAGCGTGGGAGGTGGGAGGGGGGGGGAGGAGGGAGGTGAATAGCACATGTGAGACAGGAAAATCACGAAAAGTCAACCACCACTCCTGGAAAGGCCAGAAAGTAAATACCCCCCCCTCCTTCCCAACAATGAGCAAATACGACCCCCCCCTTTTTTTTTACAACGTCCGTGAAGCAAGAAAAACCAGCTATCAAAACAAATTGTTCTCAGCCCAAATACGACCCCTCTCCTGGCCGGCAAATAGGACCCCCCTGTTGGGGATTCCCTAACAACGATGTGCCCTTGTTCCTATTAATACCCGAAAAGCCTAACCTCAACCAAACCCTCAAGTTATTCCTTCATAAATTTTTGTTCGCTGCTGCGACGAGTTAGTGGGCTGGGTTTAGAGCAGTACCAAGCGGTTCTCCACTAACTGGTGGCTAGCACCGTTTCGACAGCTGATGGAGAAATGGCTGGCGCAGCGCGAAACCAAACTTCCCTGGCATCCACCATCCGCAGTGCACATCAAAGGTGATGACTGTGTTCGCAGAACAACTGAAATGTGACAACGAGGTGCAGCTGACCCGGATAGTGCAAAAGTAGAGATTGGCGCCAGTCCACCGGGAGGGAACATGCACAGGACTCGATGCGCAAAAGCTGGCCTAGATTTTATGTGCGAAATCGGACACAAGGATTTTTTTTCATAGGAAAAAAGAAATAACAACAGATTTGAATCGTGTACAAAACCCAGACGGTCCGTTTCATTCCTGACCTCCTGCGAACCTCTTTTACTTCGCCAACCCTGTTAATCGTCAGTGAGGTAGCGCGAACGAAACACTGCTGTGTGGATGGAGATGAGGAGAAATCAAGGGAAATAATTTTGAAGGGCGGGCCTTCTCCCCTTGGTTTTCTCCTTCCTCCTTCACGGGAAAAGCCTGGGTAGAAAGAGCCGAGGGGTGAAGAAACCAATTTTCTGTGCAGAACCAGTTTTGCGCTACGGCAACTCGGGCTTGGCACAAGGAGTCATTTGAATTCAACCCCTCCCCTAGTCAACTTATCCAAAGGTTTTCATCAGTGAAAAGATTATCGCCCCAGTGCCGAGAATCCGCGAAATTAGATACGCATCAGTTGCTTTCTAATTACCCTCCTGGACCGAGATAATCGATACCTGTCTAATCTCAGGCGAGAGTTCTCAACTCGCTATGCCGCAAAGTATGAACGCAACCTAACTTACCGAGTGAATAACCATAAATGCACCAAGCTAGCCCTATTCCAGTCCTCGGCTAACAAACCTGCACACATTATATCCCCCATTACATCTATTCACTCATACCTATGCTACAGCTCATCACCTCCCGAGCCCATTGAAATAGAAAAACCATAGCACACCTGTGGATGAAATGACATCGTGGACCATATGGGCAATAACCGGACTGATGATAGGATTGGCATGCTTCGGTTTTATACTTTGGATGACGAGGAATTGGACGTTTTTCTTGTTCACCGTGAGCATATTGGCATCTGCAAAAAGATCATATTACAATACCCATAACCTATCCAGCCAGGTAAACCTCTACCTTTCTCCGTAGTTACAGCGGCCATGATCCATCCACGAACGACATAACTCCGTTTTGTACAACTTTGGATTTTTCGGTGGTGGAGCATGCTGTGGTACGGTAACTACTCCCACAAGGGGATTCATATTGACCGATGCCATCGATGCACCTAAAAAGAGCTCTCAGAATGCAAATTACTAGCTATTTCTGGTAAACTGATGCGGAAAACAAGAAGAAATGCTACAATGGATAAAAAAGGATAAAAGGATAAAGTCTTCGCCGTTGATCAATCCCTTTGTGGGATGCGGCACGCATTCTACTTCCATTCAGAATCGTAGTGGCTTATTGAATGCGATGTGGCCTATACAATGACTTGCGGGGGCCAGCCGTATAAGTCAGTGTTATTATCTCTCAGACGAAATCTGGTTCCGATATCACGTCCGGGGGGGGGGCGCGTGGTAGAAGGCTTGTGTTGGTATCTGCGCCAGAAGAAGGGACCGAAGCTGGCGAACCATAGGACAGCTGCGAGTGCGTGAGCGCGCCCACTTGTTCACTGGCATCACCTCCTGCCACCACTGAACATCAAATAAAATCTCATGGCCAGTGGGAGTCGCCGGACTGAAGTGTATAATTTCTTGGTTTGAGAACTCACCAAGATTCAGACTACGTCCATAGCACCACTCCCTCCTCTCAGCTCTTCCCCCAACGAACGCGACCAAAATTATCAGGGAAACCGTTGACGGCTTTGTTGATATTTATAGAGGTAGATCCACACCGGCCCCCCTGCATCCCGTGATATGACCCAGATGCGTGTCTAATCTTGTTCGATCGACGGCGGTAAACCATGGCAACCCGTCACTTCCCCCATCATTTCCGCAACTTGGTCTATATGGATCAGAAAATTGGACCAGCGGTAGCCCTACCACGATGAAAGCAATGCTGCATGAAATTTCTACCTTTCTGAAACTTTCGGCCTCACTTCTGGACAAACTTAAGGCTGGGAGCTGATACTTACGGCGAACTGCAACGGTTAGGCAGCGTTCATACTTCGCGACGGCAGCGCGCGCGTTCAACGCGATCGATGCAGTCGAAAGTATGCGCATCGATCGCGTCGAGCGCGCGACCGAAGCGCTGCCGTCGCGAAGTATGAACGCTGCCTTAAAGTCCAGTCCAATCAAGGGCTTTTCCCGCTTTAAAAGCGTAAGTACCAACATATCCATTATGAGCATGGTTGCGCAATATTTCGACACTTTTTATGGAAGTGTTACAGTAATGGATCATAGGCTATGCTCCTAACTCTCCTAAATGAACAGGATCTTGAAGGCAGAGCTCACGATCACTTACGTCAGCTATTTCTGGGAGATGCAGTGACTGCAACGAACAATCCTAAGTTGCACGTCAGAAAGTGGTAAGGAGCAGCGTTGAGACATGGTTGTCAAGTGACTCCACCCATGTTGACAGATGCCTTATCTGCTGCCTCGCTCGTTTGCATGCTCTCTCGCTGCTTTCTCCGTCCTCTCACCCGAAATCCACATCTATTCTTTGTCTCTCGCTTGGCACAAAATGGACCGTAGGGCGCTTCCGACGGTTTCTTCTCATTTTTTCTTCACGGACAAGCACATACACTTGTTTCCAACCCTACTACCATGTTCGCTAGCCCATCGCCAAGTGCGCTAACCTCGGCATTATTAATTTGGCATAATTCTTTAGTGCCATAGAGGTTAGTTGGATAACAATAATAATAGAAATTTCCTGAACAGTGAAAGAGCTTTCCGAAGAATGAGATTCGCTTTCTTTTTGCAAGGTCAACTGGACTGGCTTCCTCTCGAGACTTGATATCCGTTGAAATTTGGATAGTAGGGCCGAGTTCGTTCACAGGAATCTCACACCGACACCTCCTAGTCAGTCCTTCGAAATGAACTGAGCAGAAAGTTCCTGGACACAAACGTCAAGTTTGACGGCGTAATTTTAATTAAAGATTCTTTTAATTACTTGTGCCATTAAAGACCTTCACCCAATTCATATGCACTCTGTCGGGTCACCTTCTTCAGATATCCAGGGGTTGAAGATCGGAGACCCTTGTCACCGCGGCTGATTATAAGTTCGTAAGCAAGCATTGAGCAAATTGCCACTTTTTTTCTCACCACTCATTATTACAGTTTCGGCCCATCGTTTGTTGGGAATCCCCAACAGGGGGGTCGTATTTGGCCGCCAGGAGAGGGGGGGGTCGTAGTGAGTGCGGCAGCCGGTAACGAGCAGCGCAAATTGTCAATGTGCTGAGTCCTGTACAACGAAACTTGTAGAGAACTCGGATATGCAAAAAAATAGTACAAAACTTTCATTCATCAAACTAATCCGAAATAACTGCAAATATTAATAAGTCGACATTATCTCGTAAGTCCGTTGGTGACTAAACAGTACAACTCAAACTCTGGTTCGCTGCCAATGATATGGCGTGTCCGCGGTCGCGCTTGGCGCTGAGCCAACCTGTTTTTTTCTCGACAAGCGACAGGACTACCATATCGTTCATATCAGACGTTTTCCAGCAGTTGGTCTCCTTTATCGGAGTCAGCGATTGGCAGAGCACGAATCTGGCAGCGTTGACAGGGACATGTTCCATCATACGCAACGGAAAACACTGTAAACAAGTGCACAGGCTCGCCATGGACCTCCCTGAACCTTATAGACACATTTGCTCGCGTGAACAGACATTACGCACAAGTTGCACCATCCCATCACCTCTGCGCGGACCTCAGTGCGCGGCGCATCCAAAGTTGGCGTGATCGGCGCTAAACGAACCATATCTGCTCCTGCTCCACCACAGGATACGTTCTACATGCGTTGCTATTCGAACACGCTCACTTGAAACGGTACACAGGAAACGGGTTTTTCGCGCAGCTGGGAGTGTTCCTCAAGAAATCCCCATAGCGAGATCTCATGAATCCCGAAAGCTTCAGAAACAGTTCAAGAGGTTTTTAGAAAGAGAAAATCTTCAAACACTTGCGAACCATTCTCATGATCCGTTGTGAATGCTTGAGTAGTTACAAAAAAAATATATTGATTCAAACCTGTTCGGTTGAAACCACTCCCCAACGAATCCCTATGGCAGATTTCTCTGTGATTTTTGCGACGTTCATAAACGTTTTAGTACTTTTAGGAAGTGAACAAACCTTTGCGCGTCATAGACGACGTGTACGGTCTCCGCTTCCCAACAGGCCCGGCTTCTTTGAGGAAGTTTAATGGAACGCTTCAAAGACACCTAACTCAGCTGGAAATTCTCGCTCCATGGCTAAAATTGCCGAATAATCTCCTGTCACAGCCGCAATTACATGCGCTTCTGCTACCGTACTCCAATAATCGGGGTAATGCATTTTTACGGCGGTTTGTATAACTGTTACGTAGTGAGACAAGCCTAACTTTCTCTTTTCCTCGTCTCAATCTTGGGAATAGACGTTGTTAACACTGTGGTCGCTGATGGCCGCTCCCAGAGAGGGAGTCCACCTCAGGTTAACGAATGCTCATTGAATTTAATCGCGATATATCGTTATTATTACCATGTGTGTTTCAAAACGGCCATCGAAGAAGTTCATCATACGAGTTTCTCATAATACGATTGTACCGTTTTTCCTATCACGAAGTATCTTCGTTTGCAATCATCTCTGTATTGTTCTATTATGTCATGACTTCAAGTCGTCCATTTAGTATGGGCACCTTCATACAAGTAGAATTTCATAGTGGGCGTTTCATAGTTTCATTTAAGGCGAAAAAAACCGAACGGCAAAAAAAAGGGGGGGGGTCGTACCGAACCCCCAAAAAAAGGGGGGGGGGGGTCGTACAGGCTCGACCAAAATCCCCATCGAATGCTGTGCCCTGATTGAAGTTCTTCGCCCCAATAGCATCTATTCGTTTACTTCATTAAACATGGAATTTGAGAGCATGGCGTGAGCCAAAAGGATGGATAAATAGCACTTGCACTCATCGTTTTGTGCCAGGAAAAATGAAGTCGTATGAAAAAACTTTGCTGACCAAAAAACTTGTTGACATGAATAGTACTACTGCTGTTGCTCATTAGCAGCCGCCGCGAAATGAAACGGCCTCACAAAAAAAAACAACGCGAGGGGCAAGCATTAGCCGCCCTAATGAGCTTTATTTTGGCGTTTAACGCTTATTGCTTCACGACCTTCCATTAGCTTACAATTTCAGCCGCCACTAGTCACAATAAAAGGAATAATAGGATGCGCCATGCACCCTACACCATTCACAATCGTAGCAGCATTCATGATGGAATACTGGCTATGAAATTACTTGCGGCGGTCGCCGATGTAAAGGTCACCGCTTTTGTTCCACATACATCTTAGTACCACAAGAAGTCTGGAGAAACGAAAAAGAAAAACAATCTAGGAACAGGAAGCCCAAGCTGCCCAGGCAGGTCACTCCCTGGATTGCAGCCCCGATCGCAAGCGTAGTAAGCAAAGCCACCAATATCGCACTAAAGCGCCTTCGCCTCTTTGGGAAGAAATGCATGTTCAGGATCCCTTCTTCTGTCAATCTTGTACGTTTCAGCTCTGCTTAAGAGACTAAGTTACTCAGCGCTTTAAACTGGAAGACCTCCGCGAACATAACATAGCGGGGTAATGGGGCCCAATATAGTGACAAGCCCGGTAATCAACTCAAAAGTGAGGGAAGAAAAAAGAAGCCTGTGGAAATACTCTCGATGAGATCCTATGCCATAGAGAGCATTTCCAGAAGCTAAGAGAACCAAGTGTAAGGCAAGCGAAAGGCAAAGAGATGGCTCGCTTGGACGAGTAGTCCCCCATGCTTATGTCATGACAAAAAATAGCTTCTTACCTTGTCACTTCATTCACACCACTCACACCATTCCCAATAGGAAAGAGTAAGTAACCGGGACAACTATTCAGGCAGCAGTGCGGCACGATAGGCATGGTGCAGGGGCACTAGACGCGTATTGTCTACTGTTGTGAGCGGGTAACGTCCTTACTGCACACCGAACCAAAACCTTACCGCACTCACCTTGTCTGTCTTTGCGGCCACGGACTACCTGTCGCAAGGAAGCTGTTGCACACCAAATAACGCGGAAATGTGCCTTTTACAGTAGCAACAAAGGTTCTGAGCGGCTGTGCAGGACACGGGTTCGTCGCGC